CTGAAGGCATGGGGCTGGGCCTTTATTCTATACATTGTCCAGTCATTGGATGAAGGCTGCCCAAAAGAGAAGACATAATCTTGAGCAAGGTAGCAATCTTGGTCTGTGTTCTGGTCCCTTCTCACACTGCTATAAAGAAATACCCAGGACTGGATAATTTATAAAGAAAAAAGGTTTAATTGGCTCACAGTTCTGCAGGCTGTACAGGAAGCATGGCTGGGAGGCCTCAGGAAACTTACAATCATGGCAGAAGGCAAAGGGGAAGCAATCACATTTTCACATGGCCAGGGCAGGAGGAAGAGAGAGAGGAGAGGTGCTACACACTTTTAAACAACCAGATCTCACAATAACTCACTCACTATTGTAAGAGCAGCAAAGGCGAAATCTGCCCCCATGATCCAATCACCTCCCACCAGGCCCCACCTCCAACGTTGGGAATTACAATTTGACATGAGATTTGGGCAGACACAGACCCAAACCACATCAGTCTGCAAGCATAATTCTAGGAGAGCAACTGAGCTGAGAGCTTCAGCCACCCACTCTCTCCTAGCAGTTGGTGAAATTGGTGCCTCAGTACTGAAGAGTGATTTGGGTAGCCCACCAGAGAATCTGCTACAGCAACTAACCAGCTCCACTGGGTAGTACCAAAATAGGGTCACCATCTGTGCCAAGGGCCCCAGTTTGAAAGTCAGAACCAAGCAGTAAGAGATACTAGCTTGATCCTAACCAGACAGCAACCAGGAACTGTTCTAGGGCAGCACGGTCCCCTAAGGGGTAGAGTAGAGATAGAGAGACCAGGATCTGGTGACTCAGAAGAAGAAAAGGCAGGCACTAGAAGGAGCCCTACTCCTAGATGGACTCTGGGGAGACCCAGCAAGCTACAGGATAAGAAATCGAGACAAAAACATACACCAGCATGGCATGTGGGTAGGCACTTCAGGTACACTCCTGCCCCCCAAGTATTAATATTATTGGGTCCAGTATAGACAGTGCACAAGCCTCACCAGAGTCATGACCAATCCCAAGATCCCAACACTAGGGTGAATGACTTAACTCCAGCCCTAAGGAGTACAGACTGCTTCTATTTCAACTTTAACCCACAACTAAAGGGGTGGGGACCTGCAGATGGGATTAATGAATAGATGGAGGTTTCAGAGCTGAGGAAGCTGATGCAGTTTTTGGATTCCAACTGAAGCATTTGTTTCAATATCTATGGCAAAGGCACTTGGGCAAGGTGCCACCTGCATTGCATCGTCAATTTATTTAAAAACAAAGCTTCAAAACTGGAAAAATGACTGTGAAAATATAATTTAAGTAGCTACATAGTTCTACAGCCATATTTTTCACAGCTGTCACCTTTCAAGAGAGAACTCTCCACCCTGCAAGTTTAACCTCATATTTGCTCAGTAATCCTAATTCTTTACCACCCATCTGAGGTGCATAGTTGTGGTGTGTCACCCTCTTTTGCTGATACAGAAAGGGCTCTGTCCTTTTATTTTCTTTGCTATACGCATAGCTTTCATTCCTTTTTTGACCCTGGGCGGCAGAGCTGCTGAACGTCCTTGCCTTAGGCATTTTTGCCCTCAGTTCTCCTTGGCTTCTGCTCTATATCAAATGATATCAACTAGACCTTTCCACAGTAGTTCACAAAATTATTGGAATATGAGTATGCCTAACTTCAAAAAAAAAAAAAAGGAAAGGAAAGGAAGGAGAGAAGGAAGGAGAGGGGAAGGAGAAGGAAGAAAGGTAAGCAAGTAGGTAGTCAATACATCAAAACAAAACTTTTTTATTTTCCATTTGTCTCCCTGGTACAGAGGGTTAAGGTGGTCATATTTCTTCATTTAAGTAACATTATCACTAGTCTATTCAAACACCTCTCTGTTTTTAGTTATTTATTTGCTCTCATTCTCCCACTTCTGTTCCTCTCAACTCCTTAGATAACAATCCTAGTGTATGTTCATGTGCAGGAGGAGGTTAACATCTAGTGTTTTATGTACATTTATTTTAATTCTGCAAATAGTATATTATATCTCAGTAATTTCTCACTTGTTTCTCTCAGTTTCATGATTTGAAGATCCACCCATGCTACTCTGCGTGCCTTTAGACTCTCACTTCTACATGCTCTCCTAGTCAATTAGGTGTGCACTGTTCAAATTTTACCTACTCCCTCACCTAGTAATGGACACCCAGGTTGCCTCCAATCCCCTAATGCCCCAATGCTATGAAGAAAACGTTTGTAAAAGATTCCTTGTGCCAGTTTGAGACTCCGTTTGATAATTTCTCTCAGTGTATACACAAGTGGAATTGCAGGGGTTATTAAGATCATTGTTCACGTTGTTAAAAGTTTCTGGCATCATGGAAAGAATTATAGACGCATCCATTAAAGAGTGGGCACCTTCAAAGGGAGTACATTCAAATAGTTATTAACAAATCATAAAATTTATTAATAAATTCAGGAGACAGACACTTGAATGCTTAGGAACTGAGACCAACCAAAGACAAATCAGAAATGAAGATGTAATGTTTCTGAAATAAAAACATAAGTCAGTAGGGAAAATGACTGGATTCACAGAACTGCATTCTCCGTGTTGCTTCATGAGAACACTCTGTTGTGACAAGCACAGTGCGCCTGCCTATCCCCACCTCTCTCCCCATTCCCTGGCCCCCAGGCCTCTCTCTTGACCCAGTCACATCCACAAAGTCACCTGCTGTTCTTTTAGTGTCTCTTTTATAGGGGAGGCACTATTTTTACTCTCCCCACTGCTGCCTTTCCTGCTCTGCAGCATCAACATCAACGCTGCAAAATTTCAGCTTGCACCAGGGCTGCTTCTGTAGCCACTGGAGACTGCCGTTGCATGAGCTACAGTTTCTTGCACTCTGTCCGACCTTTGCTCCTCATCCCTCCTCCCTACATCAATCAAAAGCTCAGGCAACCTCCCGGTCAAATCTGAACCAAAATGCTCCTCTGGGAGTCACACCATGCTCCCATTTGGAGGAGGAGGCTGCCTGCTGAGAGACGCCAGCTTCTGGGCTCCATTTGCATGAATAAACAGCTCTGAAGGGTTCTGTTGAAGCTTTTATGTAAACACTCTCCAAAATATGTTCTCCACTGTATTATCCCCAGCAATAAAGATTCTGGAATCAGAATTTGGCTGTCAGTTTTATTGATGCTGCATGGGGTACAGTGGAATACAGCTTTCTCTTCTGGAAATTTATTGGTTTGGCAGTGCAGAGAGCAATAAAACTGTGTTTTTAATCAGGAAGCCAAGCGAACATGATTCCAGAAGAAATATAGAAAACAAATATGCCATCACAAGAAGACCTGTCCCCACACTGTCCCTGTTCTTCTCAGATCCTTTGTTAAATAAATTTAGATGTTGAACAATGTGCTTGGTGGGAATGACTTTGGGAATAGAATCAGAGACCAAAGTTGGATTATTTTCTCTAGGCTGTATCATTTCTAAGAGATTGTTGAGTGAAAATATTTTTCTAAAACGAAATTTCTGAAATTCCTCTGCATTAGCACCTAGGAAGGAACAGCTGGTAAACTGCTTTGTGGAAGGAATAGAGAGAATGTGACATGCTTCCTCTCAGGAAAGGCAAGGTTACAATGCCTGTCCCTCCACCTTGTTCACCAAGACAGTGGGTTAAGAATAATATGCTTTGGCCCAGTATTGCACAGGGAATGGGTGTCTGGAGTCATTCTGCTTGGTTGTAACCTTGTTCAGTTTACTTAATCTCTTTGTGACCCAATTTCTTCTGCTATCTAAGGGAAATACCCACCTCATACCATTGCTGAGTGGGTAAAATAAGGTCACAAATGGTGTATAATTCACACAGCAGCTTACACCTGCAGCAAGTCCCTTCTAGGACTGTAAGAAATCTTACTTTCATCTGCCCATCATGGAGGTGTTCTTTCCTAGCAGCTTAAAACAGTCTTTGCTGCATAGACATGTTAAAAACAAGACAGCATCTCTCACCTTTGTTCTCATATTCCTGATACACACTTCCCATCTGAAATATCCTTGTCCTCTCTCTTCTTCTCTGCCAGTCCTTGGGCCAAAATATTAAACTATTGTAGATGCTCAATAAACATGTTGGTCGCATGTTCACCCCTGCCTTGCAGTTGCTTTCTCCTGAGTTATCTTCACCTCCAGTTCCTTTAGCATTCCCACATCATCCTATGCTGGTTTTAGATTTCTGAGTGTCACTCTTTTCTCAAATCTCAAGTACAGCATAGCTTTCATTTCAATTTCAAGAATACTTAGATTGTTCCTGTGGGTAAACGTGAATTCCTGAAGGAAATGATCTCATAGACATTCCCCCCAAGTGACATGAGATGCCCATGTGAGTTAACCATAGGATTAAAGTTGTCTGTTTGGAATAATATTGAAATAGGCTACCTGAGAAAGACAGTAGAGATCAAGACAGGGGCATGTTCTTAATGAATCTTCTGTTCTCCTGCCTGCATAATTTCCAATTGTATTTTCATCATTCATTTCGCCACTCTACTCAACATAGTTTTTGTCCATCTTCCCAATCAAGTCTATAGGACCACTCTAGAACTATTTAACTATATACTTGGTGCCGAGCCTTGTTCTTTACATGGATAATCCTGATTAATCATCACAACAATGCTGTGAAGCGGGAATTATTATCACAATTTTACAGGCAAAGAAACTGAACTGGAGGGCATAAATAACATGCTTAGAATCACATAGCCAAGTAGTGGGAGAGCGAAGATCTGATCCCAGGTATGTCTGATCTCAACATTCACAATCTTAACCACAAAACTATATACTCTTTGATAAAGACCAAGAATAAGTCATGGCACATCTCTTCATTGATATGTTAGAATCCTCAGCCTGAATCCAGCTGTTGGAAACACTGAAGTCTCTCTGTCTCTCTCACACACATACACATACACACTTAATTCATGAACTTTAAAGGCACCGAATCATAAATCTTAAACTCTTGGATTTCCTTTTTTTCTTTTCTAGATCACTCGCCCACCTCCCTGTCAAAGTGATCCCATCTCAAGCTTTCAGAGGACTTAATGAGGTCATAAAAATGTAAGTTACTGCATATCAAAAGACATTCATAATTGAAATAATGAATTTTTTCTAAGAGAAAACACAGTTGAAAGGGGATAATTTTTCTAGGAGAGAAATTGTGTTTAAGATACTTGAATATTTTTCCTTTGTAATATAAATAATAACTAGAGATTGCTGAAGAAAAGATATGATTTTTAAAAATCATTAAAATCCAGATAATTAACCTTGCTTCAAAGAACTGAATGTATTTTATAAGTGATAATATACCTTTTAAGCAGAAAAAAAGATAGATTCCAATCATAAAAAGTCTCCTTCTGCTAGAACAGCTATTCTCTTGTGTCACATTTTTAGATAACACCCACATAGAAAAAAATGTGTTAGAAGTTTATTGTGCATCAGAAGATAATCTTTATATCTAAAATATAAGTATATGACAAAACACAATATTTATAACTATACTGATGAAAGGCACTTATCAAAAGTGTAAAGCACCCTGATAATGCTGTATGATCTCACGTTTATTAGATGTAACTTCGATCATTCACCCCTGGGTTTCAGCTTCTAGGACCAAAGTTCCCATGCTTGGAGAGACAATATTCTCAAGAGCCCAGTATTCCAGCATCTTTCTTAATATTAGCCTGAGTCAAAGGACCTCATGGCCATTGAGTTCTTACAGTGCATCTCTAATCTTAATCCACTGGACTTTGGAAGTAGATGTGCATTTCTAAAGAAGATGCTACACTATCAATCCTAGCTCCTTGTGGAACCTCTATTGCCCTTTAGGGTATTGGTAAGCAATTAGAATATTTAAAATAATTCTTCAAGAATTAGTGCATATTATAGGAAATTCACTGCAGGCCATAGACATGTGAGTTTACTTGAGCCTAACCCATGCTCTTCTGCTCTCAGGTTGGAATGTTGAGTTTTGATAACTTTTAATACATTAAGACCTCCTACTGAGAAAAGCAGCTACAGTTAAATAAGCAAACTGTTAGGCAGGAATAAGATGAACCAGCCCAAGAGCAGTCCATTCCTGTGTTGTTCAAAAAAGATGTTAGCTATCTTAAGCTCTGCCTTTCTGTGGGCTAATGCTCTCATCAAGTCTGAAGTCTTCAGTGAGTCTTAACCTTAGAAATAAGCAAACGTACACTTTGTGAGTTTGAGACATTTTTCTCAACTGGCAGAAAATGGTAGCTTATGTTGGGATTTGACAGAAACACTGACATTACCTACATGCTTGCAAATCGTATATAACAAAGCTGGTTCCTTTATTTTTGTGTCTTTTTCAAAAACACCAATTATTCATTACTCCATTCACTTATTCATTCATTCATTCATTTGTACTTTTAACTCTGTGTTAAGCAATATGAAGCCACCAGGGATTCAGAGGTGAATAGAATATATCCCCTGTCCTCAATTTGCTCACAGGTGAGAAAAACAGACAAGGAAGTAGATAATTATAATTCATGATGGATATCATGTGCAGGAGTTGACTACCTTGCAATAGCCTCAGCACAAGATTTTGAGAAACCAAGGGTTAAGAGTTTGAAACAATTCAACCCATATTAAAGCTTCACTAGAGTGACAGAATTAAGACCCAGAGATCCACATCCTAGTCTTGAACCTTAATGTAAATACTATTTGCCTCTCCTCTCGGGGCCTTAATTTCCAGAGCTGTAAAACAAAGGAATCTGACTAGATTTTCTCAAAGGGCCTATGTAGTTCTAACAATCTGTGGCACTGAGTCAGAGATAAATAAGAGAAAAATCTGTCACATAAACAGGGGTTACTAAAACTTGCATTTCAACTACACCTGGGTTGTAGGTGCCCATCAGTGCTCCTAAGGGGAGATGTTAGCACTGTATGATGTGAGGACAATTTATACGTCCCTGTTTTTCTCAGGGGGACACAGTGGAGTCCCCAGTTGTTGGTCACACATACACAGCTCCTTATCATGCAGACACAGTCATTTCTTTCATGTTTCTTTCTCTTTTCTCCCTCCCTCTCTTCCCTAGTGAAATCTCTCAGAGTGATTCCCTGGAAAGGATAGAAGCTAATGCCTTTGACAACCTCCTCAATTTGTCTGAAATGTAAGCATCAGCTAATAGACAGTTTATTGCTGTACACTATTACCCTCGCTGGCTGGAGCCCCCTTGGTATTTGTATTCAAGCATCCACTGCTTGGAATCCAAGAGGAAAAGACTACAGCAATTACTAGGTCTGGGCAGGCACTAATTTTTCTCACTGCAGTGGCCTGTAGGTTGCTATGGTGACAACTGCTTCTCCCTGGGAGCTGTATAAACTCTGAAACATCACAACACAAAGATAGAAATCAAAATTGACATTGTGAAGTCCTGCCAAGTAGCTCTTGCCTATGGAATAGAGGGTATGGAGTACTTGGGATAGTGGAAAACTTGGAAAAGAACTTAGAGATCACAAATTGGTTCACTGGGGGCTGTCTGGGTACATTCACTCATTCAGTAAATGTCTCTTGAATACCTACAATATAAAAGCTGCGTAACAGGCATGTGTGTGTTGGGCTCGTTGGGTTTCATTGTTATTGTGATGTTTTGAAACAACCCTTGCCAAAGTCTCATTTTTCGCCCAAATCACAAAAAGGATAGGAAAGGACTGGCTCAATTCAGTTTTTTCAAGTGATAAATCTGTGGCCTAAAGAGGTTAACTAACTTGCCCGACATCACACAGCAAGTTAGTGCCAAAGATGGAATTAGAAATCAAACCATGTGACTTCCAAACCAGGACTCCTACTGCTGCTTTGTGTGGTCCAAACCTGAGCTTCCAGAAGAGCACTCAAACTTCACCTACTTTGGAGTTTCAAAAGTAAGGGAAGGGAAAAGGCATCAAACATTTTTTGAGCTCTTGTGCTTGGCATTTTTTCTATGTTGTGTCATTTAATCCTCACAGCTACCATGCACAGTGGAGGTAATTATCCCTTTTGTTCAGGGGAAGTAATGGAGGCTTGGAAAGGCACAGAAACTTGACCAGTGTGACACTGTAAACCAGGGGTATCCAGTCTTTTGTCTTGGGCCACACATAAAATACACTTATACTAACAATAGCTGATGAGAAGAAAAAAAAAAAAAAGGCCTCATAATGTTTTAAGAAAGTTTACAAACTTGTGTTGGGTTGCATTCAAAGCCATCCTGGGCCGCATGTGGCACACAGGCTGTGGGTTGGACAATATTGTTTTAGACCATGGCAGGACTGGGATCCAATACCAGCCTGTCTTTCTTCAAAGCTCCTGCATTTTCCACTATACCACAAGGCCCCCCTATAAATGATCCAATGAATAATTACCTAAAGAGAATAATTAATTGGTAAGTACATGAGCAACTACCATGTGTCCAATACAGGGCCAAATGTTGCTAGAATACAGAGGAGGTAAAATATAAATGTCTACCATGAGATAACAGTGTAGCCAGGGAAGTGAGACTACTCACCAATTACGGAGAAATCCAAAATAATGAGTAAGTGCAAAAACATAGTCTGAACTTAGCTGAGAGGCAGAATCACACATAGGGCTCATTTGTAGATGACAGTCCTGTTCCAGACCTGGAAAGCTGCAGTTTTAACAGACTTCCCAGGCAATGCTAAAACACAACTTATATTGAGAACCACCAGGACAGCTAATGATAAATAAAGCTTCTCGTGATGCAAAGCAACATTTATCAACAGAAAGAAACATGAAGCACTCTCACAAAAAGTTTATGGATTCCCAAAGAAGGCCCTAAAACTAGCATGCTAGCTCCATGAAGGCTCTTTTTGCTTTGTTCACAGCTGTAGTCCCAGCATGTAGAACAATGCTTGCCACATGTTGTGCCCAATAAATGTTTGTTAAATGAATGAATGACTGGGCTAGGGTCAGGCCTCAAAAGTCTTTTATTAAATTTCTTTTAATTTTTCTTTTCTTTTTTTTTCTTTTTTTTTTAAGATACAGGGTCTCACGATGTTGCCCAGGCTGGCCTCAAATTCCTGGGCTCAAGTGATCCTCTCACCTCCTTTCCACATAGCTGGTACTACAGATGTATGCCACCACACCCAGCCCAAAAGATGTTTAGAGATAAAAGTCCCTTCCATCCCATCCACATAAGGCCCTATATGGCCTGTGATTGCTTGACTTAGTTGTTGTAGAAATAATTTCAACAAAAAAATCACTCACATCTAAGAATGAAAAGGACTGAGAAGATGGAAACAGGTACAAGTGGTGGGTAAGTTAAGTGTGGTGGAACAAGAGTCAGGAAAACTGAGTCATATCCAATTTCTTCTACTTCTCAGCTGTGTGACTGAAGACAAATCATTCAGCTTCCTAATTACAGCAACTATAATAACTGTTGTTAACACTAGTTAAGGCCTTACTGTGAACCAGACACATGTATTTATTCACCAAAAACAACACTATGAGGAAACCAAGACACAGAGAACTTTAAGTGACATATCCAAGGTGATATGCTCAGTAAAATCCGAATGAAAAACCATGCTGACTCCAGAGGCCATCCTCCTAACCAATACGTTACATTTTCTCTATAGAACAAAGGAAGTATCATTTCCACAGGTGGCTGACACCTGGATTAAGAAACCCAAAGGCATTTACTGGCCTTTTATTGGCTACTTTTTATAGGGTCACAGTCATTAGGGGAATGAGGGAGTTGGAGGGGAGGGATAACAACACAGTGGTATGTGACTGTACTTTTATACTTTGCAAAGCCCTGCCTCTACCTACTCTCTTACTCAAAACCTACTAACCTGTGAGGGAGGAAAACTATGTAATGTTATTATACCAATTTCACAGAAGAGACAGTAGCTCAAGGAAGTTAGGAGGCTGGGCATCATCACATAGCAAATTATCTACAGAATGAACATAAAATCCCCTCATGTAGAAGCCCCTGGCCTTTGCCCTGTGCCATTCCACAGACTGGTGCCCCTCTATATAACTGCTCATGTAGTTGCCAGCCAATATGAAGAGGACCAGTTTGCTTACAAGGGAGAGTAGGTAACTTGCTCATCTCTCCTGAGAGAGGAATCTCTCATCACCCTCAGCGTGCGCGGTCCACAGTGGGACAGAATCTACTCGGCCAGGAGCCCTGGATGTTGGTGCTATCTGAGGTTGGGGAGAGGGGCAGGAGGGTGCAGAGGCAGACTCCCCACTCGGATCCTTATGCCTGCCTCTTCAGAAGCTTGAGAGCAGTGCTTCCTGGAAATAGCGAACCGGCTCTCACCAAGCCATTTCCATCCCCAGAGTCGCTAGAGGTCCTCCCAATCATATAAAGGTCCTTTGGCTGATGCCATTTTCAGCCAGCAACTTCTGGTGACCACGATCTCACACATTCCAAATAATTCACATCTATTAAACAGCTGCCTTTTTTCCCCTCTCTCTTCACAGACTGATCCAGAACACCAAAAATCTGATACACATTGAGCCGGGAGCATTTACAAATCTTCCCCGATTAAAATACTTGTGAGAAATTTTCCTTTTTAAGCAACTGGGGAGGAAAAGATGGGCATCTGATGAAAATCAAAACAAGGAAGAGGTTGGGAAGATTTTGTTTAACCATATATGTAGCACTATTTGCATGTTCCTCTTCAGCCTTCTGATTTAAATTTAATTGGCATTTCTTGTCAGCCACCATGTTGGGTGCTTTTGCATACAAGTGATTCCCAACATTTTATCTGTCCTATACACCTGAAAAGAACATCACTCCTTTGCAATAATTTTCAGCATTGACAATGAGCATGGGAGATGGAGGTCATAACACTTTAAAAAGGGTAAACCAGAATCTCTAAGGTGAACAGAGACTAGGTGAAAGGGAAAGTGGCAATTCTGATTTGACTCCTATCACTGGTTGAGAATTACTCATCTCCTTTATCTCATTTTTTTCATTTGTTCACTAAATAAAAACTTTTTAAGTATTGCCTTAAAGTAGACATCGTGCCATGTAAACTCAATCATTATTTTCTACTTCCCATTAACTCTATCTGTTAACATTAGAAATTGAGTTCCCCTGTAGCCTGCCACAATCATTGCCTTGCCAGCAGTACCAAAATTCCTGAAATCTATGGATTTATCACTATGGATCTTCTCACATATCAAGTCATCCCTATTCACAAAGAAAAATTTAAGTCCCCCTAGCACAGACATCCTCTCTTTCTTCTTAAATTTCATAAAGTCTTCAGAGAATGTAAAGTCCACCTCCCATCACTGCCCAGAAAATAGGAAAACGAGAGAAGGGATATCTCTCTGCTATTTCACGTCATCAGTCTTGCTCTCAGGCCTTCTACAAAGCTGCTACTGGAACTGGCATAGTTCCTTTGTTAATTCTAACACTGAACAATTCCAGACTGAGGTGTTCTGCTTTCTCAAACTTTCAGGAAGTCTACAGGGGACATAAGCATACTATAGCATCAACTACTTTGGAAAAAAAAAAAAAAAAAAAAAAAAAAGAAAACCCCAGAACCAAATTTGGCCACTTATTATCTAAGAATCATTGTCTTCATTAAATAGTATTTTAATCCAGAACTGTGATATTCTCTCAACCCAAGTACACATTGCAGTCTAATCCCACACTGCTATCCCCAGCTGTAGATAGAGCAGAGATCCAGTATGACCTGGGCTTTTGGATAAGGAGGACAAGCAGAGAGAGCCAGAAGAGAAACCTGGCTTTGTTTCATTGTCATCAGGATGGCAGACAGTTCACATAAGTTGTCCAGAGCCCATGACTGGTGAATCTAAAACTCGGTGGAAATCCAGATGCATAGACTCTGAAGGAGCCCCGTTCTTGTAATAAAATATTCTTCAATTTCACCTGTCACTTAAGCTTCTCTCCTCTTCAGAGGCTAAATAAAAGGTGGGATGAAAAGAAGAGCCTTGAATAGTTCCAAACACCAGAAGAATGTTTAGTGATTTCAATGAGATGCAAAGAAGAACTTCCTGAATTGTAATGCAGTTAAGTAAGGGAAGATTTTTAATAATGAGCAATATGGACTTATAAGATTAATCTTCTTGAAGTATTTGAATCAAAATCTGCTCCAAAATTTAAGGATACTTTCTAGAGCTATCAAGAGCATGTAATAAACTAATTACCAAAAGGAAATGGAATACAATACAGTAGGAAAATGTGATTGATTTAATAAGAAAATAAAGGCTGGAAATATAAATGAAAAAGACCTTTAAGTTTGGTCCCAGTCCCCAGATATCTAAATAGGAGTCATTAGAGCATCTTTTCCCATAGCATCAGAGACTTCTGAATTCCAACAATCTTTCTCAGCTAAAAGTAGTCCTGATAATGCCAAACTCAATATTTTTAAATTTAATGTGACAGTCATATTTTCTAAGTGCCTTTCTACTCCCTTGTTATCTGTATGTCTTAATAACAATCTCTTTTACCCACTCTCTCCCCACACCACTACCCTGTCCCTAATCACAGAAGCATCTGTAACACAGGCATCAGAAAGTTTCCAGATGTTACGAAGATCTTCTCCACTGAAATTAATTTCATTCTGTAAGTAACAGGCTGATTGCTATGCATAACAGTTTCCTATTTGCAGCTAAAATTTGGAAAGTAAATATTTCTCATTTCTTTCCTCAAGGGAAATTTGTGATAACTTACACATAACCACCATACCAGGAAATGCTTTTCAAGGGATGAATAATGAATCCATAACACTGTGAGTAAACTCCCAGATTCATGTTCTGCCATACAGCCTCCTGCTATTCTCACTACTAGGTTGAGGTGAGCTCTTTCTCGTGTTTTACCACATTCCTCACTCACTGGTGACATTCTACCTGACCTAAAATGCTAAGGGTGAAGTGAGTTGTATAAGATCACAGCTGGGTCATATGTTCACATGACAGCCAACCAACCAATTCAGTTTAAAGTTAACCAAACAGGCCCTAAGGATTTTTAGTGACTGAGTTTCAAACTTACGAAATTGTTCACTGCATTAATGAAGAATGATCTAAGGCTGGGAAGAGACAGTCTAGAGAGGAGTGGCTTTCCTGGCTGAAAAAGAGCACAGAAATTTCAAGATTTCAATGGAGGAGAGATTGGAAGGATATTCTCCAAATAGGAAAAGTAGTTGATCAATGGACCTTGCTCTGTCTCTCTCCTTTTTGCCTTCCTCTTGGGTCCCACTCACTTTTGTTTCTGAACACTATCTATGCCCATTCTCTCTATCCCTTAATACTTAAAAGTAATGTGTTTTTATTTTACAGTTACTCATCAGTTACCAGGCTATCCCTTTCATGGTGTTTCCTAAGGCCTTACTATTCAAAGTATGGTCCATGAACCATCATCTTTAGCATCTTCTGAGAGCTGTCTTGCATTGCTATAAACAACTACCTGAGACTGGGTAATTTATAAAGAAAAAAGTTTAATTGGATCACAATTCTGCAGGCTTTGCAGGAAGCATGATTCTGGTATCTGCTCAGCTTCTAGGGAGGTCTCAGGGAACTTAAAACAATTCTGATGGAAGGTGAAGGGAGAGCCAGCACCTCACATGGCCAGGAGCAGTAGAAAGAGAGAGAGCAGGGAGGTGTCACACACTTTCAAACAACCAGATTTCATGAGAACTCTATGACGAGAACAGCACTAGGGGGATGGTGCTAAACCAGTCATGAGAAACCACCCCCATGATCCAGTCACCTCCCACCAGGTCCCACCTCCAACATTGAGGATTATAATTTGTAATGAGATTGGGTAGAAACACAGATCTAAACTGTATCCTCTGGTTATAAATAGCTCACTGCAGACCTACTAACTCAGAATATGCTTTTTACAAGATCCCAAGTGATTCACATGTACATTAAAATTTAAGGAAAACTGCACTAAGGTAACTCAATCCATGTTCTTCACAGTACACTTGTCTGACTTCCTTCCCTCTGGAATCCCTGCCATACATCTTCACGTAGGAGCCTTCCACTGCCCCACCATTCAGAAGCAGTATCCTGGGCACCATGTCTCATGTGTTTGTTTATTTATTTATTTATTTATTTATTGAGATGGAGCCTCACTCTGTCACTAGGCTGGAGTGCAGTAGAGAGATCTTGGCTCACTGCAACCTCCACCTCCTGGGTTCAAGCGATTCTCCTGCCTCAGCCTCCTGAGTAGCTGGAACTACAGGTGCACACCACCAGACCCAGCTAATTTTGTATTTTTAGTAGAGACAGGGTTTGACCATGTTGGCCAGGATAGTCTCGATCTCTTGACTTCACGATCTGCCCACCTCAGCCCTCCAAAGTGCTGGGATTACAGGCATGAGCCACAGTGCCTGGCCTCATTTCTTTATACCTAAAGCCCAGTGACCGTTATTTAATTCTGTTCCTCAAATCCATATCCCTCTCACTCTTTCTGCTTTGGTTACAGCCCATGGCAAAATTGTGATGAGGCAATAAAGGAGCTCACCCTTAAAGAAAAGACAAAGAACATAGATTGGAATGACTCTGAAATGAAGAGATAGATGTGAAACAAAAGAAGAGACCATCTCAGAGGACTCTCTTTTATATCACTGGATTCTAAAATTGGTATCCATGGTACACTGCCTTTGTATAGTATACACTGCCTTTTGCATAGGTGTAATTTTACATGTATAATTGTCACGTTACAAAGCTGTGACCATGTAGCTTCAGCTCAGATTACTGCAATCAAAAGAATACAGAGCAGCAACCACAAGTCATTTCAAAATAACCTATACTCTTTACTTGTAACTCTTGAACAATGGGAAGGAGACCCTGTTGATCCTAGAAATATTTCTCAACAGTCTTTCTACTCCTGCCACTTCCCTCACACACCACAGCTCTACCAGCTGCTTATAAAGTGTTTTCAACTAACCACTGCATAAAGGATCTGGAACTACTCATTCATCATGTCCCCCACCAAAAATAAGGTATTCACCAACCAAACTCCAAATGAGGTGGTATCACATGCCTTAGGATTTGGGATCTTTCATGTCTCTATTGAGAACACAAAAGACGTAGGATTAAATTGATGTCCTGGAGAAGTTCATAATCTCTATGAGGGGAAAAACATGAAAGAATGAAAGAATAATACAAGCTAGTAGATATTCACTATGAGAGTGTGTGGTACCTAGAAATAAGATCTTAAAGAAGTCCTCTTGGGCTGGGAAAGTCAGAAGAGGCTTCGTAGTGGAGCTGATAGACTTGAATTAGACCTCATAGAATCAGTAACATTTATACGGGTAAATGTGATAATAGCAGCTAATATTTATGTAGCCCTTATTAAATACCTGCACTGTTTTTAAGTGCTTTCTAAGTCTCATAGCAACCTTATGAGGTAGGAACTGTCGACCTTACTTTTAGATGAGGAGATTAAGGCACCAAGAGGTTAAGTATCACTATCCCAGGCCAAGATTTGGACCCAGGCAGTCTGGCTCCAGAGTCCTGTTCTTAACCATTATGTGGTGCCACATGCAGAGAAAGGCATGTTCTCTCTCTTGGAAGGAATCCAAGTGAGAAGACAGCAGGAGCAAAAGCATGGCAGGAGGAAAACAGAGTGAGGCTTACTTCTTGGGTGTAAACATGCTGTTTAAGGAACAGAAAGTAAGTTTAGATAACTGGCTGAGATGGAGAGGATGTTAAATTGCAGAGACTTAAATGCCAGGACAAGGGGACAGGCTTGGAAGTAATGCTGAAAAAAAAGTAATAAAAGAATCCACCCAATAAAGTAGCCTTTATTCAAAGATCACAAATATCCACAACTCTTTTAGATTTTGACCTAAATCTAAAAATAATCAGGGAGCAATAGGTACTCTTCCCAAGTAAATGTACAATGATGGGAGCGAAGTGAAGTAAGAATGAAAGGGCAGAAGACATGTAGGAGGGTGAAGAAGAAAATGAATGTTGGGATAATCCATAAGTAACTATGAGCTCACACGACTGGGCCACCCCACCAGACTCCAGGAGTAACCAAAGATTCCTTCTCACACATCATACTTCAGAATGTACACAGAGGGCTTCACTGTGTTCTTGTGACAGGGCCATTAACTTACGTTGGTCATGATTTTAAGAACAATAGTGCATGCCTGTAGGGTGTAATTGCCCCATTCTGAAGTTAATAAAGATTGAGGCTCCATGTCTCACAGAGAGCCTGTGGGACACTGTAGTTCCGTCCCCCTTGCCATTCTTGGCCCTTCATCTGGAAGGGGAGTGATTAGTCACTTGCCTGGCACTTGTTCTCTGCTGAATGGGCCCTTCTATAAGCAAAGGGTCATGTGGGGCACACTGCTGGAAAAAGGGTATTACACTAGAGAGGAAAGCCTTCTTTTCTCAGCTATAAAGTTCAACTCTCTAATTAGAAAATAATGAAAGCAAGCCTTCTCTTTTCATTATTAGTGGTACTTGAGATTTTGCTTTTTTAGAACCTGTCTTGCCCTCCCCCTACCCAAATCGTTACCAACTGTGAGCTCATTTAATGAAAACAAGTGAAGCCACTTGGTGCTGGAGAAACTCAGTGGCGCTAATGCTAAAACTATGCATTATGCTCTTATGTCCCTTCATAGCCACTTTGGTTGTTTATTAAATCTCCTCAAGAGGCCACCGTGAAATGCCCCTCTTCCCCAAATAAGCAGGATTTAGCTACACTACCTTCAAAATACTCTACATGACTGGTCATAACAGTCTCAGAAAAAGAGACAATCTTGATTCACATCTTAACTCCACAAAGAAAAGGAAAGGTCACGGCAATTAATTTTCTAAGACCCTACAGAGAAGTGATGTCTGGAAAGGCACAATGATTCCAGGCTGTACTCATGATGAGCCACAGCACATAGGCTGCTGGGTCTCTCTACTGTGTTGAAATTGGAAGCCTGGGCTTCAGTCCTGGCTCTGTGTCTGACCAGCAAAGCAGCCTTAGTCAGGTCATAGTCTGACATGCTCACTTTGACATGCCTCTGTCTCTGCCCGTTCCATGGGATTACTACCTCCTTGTGTGAATCAAATCACTTTGTGTCAACTATACAATCACCACAATTACAATTAGTCACAGTTAAAGGCTCACACATAGCAACCTGGAGCAGACCAGCTGTTTCAGACCATCTTGAAAATACCACATCTTATCATCTCCTTTTAAATGGGTCTTTTTTTGAAATTTTTAACTGACAAATTGAGGCACTTTCCATTTTTTTCATTGACAAATGTAAAGAACAGTATGATGAACACCTCTATACACCTTATGTAGATTCATCACCTATTAGCAGCTTGCCACACCCACTCCATCTCTTTGTATGTGAGTATATACCACTCACTACCCTTCAGCCAAGCCATCCAAAAGAAGTTGATAGACATCATGACATTTCATCCCTAAATACTTGAGCATGTATCTCCCTAAAACATAGACATTCTATGTAACTACAGTGCCATCACACCTAAAATCAACATGAATATACTATTATCTAACCTACAGTCCGTATTCAAATGAAAATGTCTTTTATAGATTTTTTTTAAACAATCAAAGTTTATGCATTGCATTTTTGCTGTTATTTCCCTTTGTCCTCCCAAACTCACCTCCCACATCTCCCCCCATCTCCTGAACTGTCCAGCTTCCTTTCTCTGTTCTGTATGACATAGGATCCTTTGAAAAGTCCAAGACAGTTGTCCGGATTCAGCTGACTATATTGCCATGACTAGACTCAGGTCAAGTATTTCTACAAGA